GCCGTGGCAGGCTCAGCTTGGCACGGCCATCTCGAGCACCTGGCACAACCCCAGAAGTCCCTGGACCCCAGCATCAGTCCCTGGACCTGGTGGCTGATGTGCAAGTGGCACTGACCACCCCAGCACACTGGCACGGGGTTCTCACCACCTGTGGGATCTGTGCTGTGGGGTGATGCCGAAGAGGGAAGTAGAGCTAAAAATAAAGTTGTGCTCCTCTGGGGCCACTTTCCCGTCTCCTGATTACAGCTGGATGAAATTTCAACTCCTTGGCACCCAGCACTCCCCAGGGATGGGGATGAAGCCAAGTGTCTGGCAGGGACCAATGGGATGTGGGGCATGTGAGGGGGCTGGAGGGACATGGGGGATGGACAGAAGAGAGGGAGGCAAGGACACGGGCACATGGAGGGGAGGAATGCAAAGAGGACCAGGGGCTGCATGTAAGGGGGACAAATGCAGGGGGGATGCATTTGGGAGGGAAGGGGAATGCAGAGGGGGTGGATGCAGGGGGGTTCAAGGGGATGGATAAAGGGGGGACCAAAGGGGTTGGATAAAAGGGGGACAGGAGCATGCAGAGGGGATGGATGCAGGGGAGATCAAGGGGATCGATGCAGGGGGCAACCATGGAAATGGATACAAGGGAGACAGGGAGATGCAGAGGGAATGGATGCAGGGGACACGGAGGGGACAGATGCAGAGGCAATGGATGCAGGGGACACCGAGGGGACGGATGCAGTTGGAATGCATGCAGGGAGACAGATCACTCACCTGTCGACATGCTGCCGCGGTCCAGGCACAGAAGCACTTAAGGCTGCCAGGAAAGAGCAGGATAAACAACTCAGCACATCAGGTGATGTGACACACCAAGCATCTGGGGAGAAAAGGGTGTCCCTTTTTGGCTATGATAGTGCCCAGCTCCAAGGCCAGGCTGGGGGGATGGGACAGAAGACACAACTTCTGGCTCGGCCCTGGAATAGGGAGCTGAGGGATCTCTGCTTCTGCGGCCATCACTCACCTGGTTCCCAGCAGTCACCCTCCGCATCCGGCTGCGGTAAGGGCATCCCCATGCCGGGTGACGCGTGGTGACGTTGCCGGCTTCCTCCCCTGCCCTGCCCACATCCCAATGCCTGGGGTGCTGCCCGACAGCAGGAAACCCGCTTGAGATGCCCAGTGCCACCACAACTGAGGGATGGAGGCAGCACCCCCAGCTGCCCAAGGGCTGGTTTTAGGGGGGGTGTCCTAAGGAGGGGGTTGCAGCACCCCAATGCACCCCCAGGACCTCGAGGTGTGTTTGGCCACCCCGCCTGCCCACACCCAGCCCCGCAGCACCCGACCTGCTTGGCCACAGCGCGTCACCCCAAACCGGCCGGACAGGGTGCAGGGACGGGGCATCCCGTGGCCAGAGGAGCCCGTAGCCGCTGACAGGTCGTGTTACAACCTCGAAAGGGCAGGGGCTAAGAATGGCCGGACTGAAACCGGCACCGGGTCACATCCCACCAGCGCTGCGGGGACAAAGCCCTGAGATGGCCCCCACGGGGTTTGGGGGGTTGGTGCACGACTCCCGAGTCCCTAAATGTGGGGGTGCTGAGACCCAGGACAGCTGGCACAACTCTTGGTGGGGCGATAGGGCAGCCCCGGCGCTCAGTGCGAGCTGGGCGCCTGATCCAGCGCGGTGCCAGTCCCGTGGGTGCAGGGTGGGGGTGATGTGGAGGTGACCGGTCCAGAGGCGATCGGGGGAGCGCTGACCCGTTCGGGTCGGGACTGGGGAGGGGTCTGCAGGATGGCCTCGTAACTCCACAACCAAAGCCACTGCGGGCTGCACCCTGGGGTGCCCCCAGCGACCTCACCCCACCGCCAGCTCCAACCCACCCCTCCCATTCCATCGGCAGCCAACGTCCCGCAGCCCTTCCCTGGGCCCGGCTGCTCCAGCACCCCCGCAGTGCCCCCGCCACCCCTTGCAGGGGCCAAGCAAAGCCCCCCGCGCTCCTGCGCTGCCCCCGTGCCCGCCGCTGGCGGGGTGCCCGCCCGGGCCCCCAGGGGTCCCGCAGTGACCATTCCCGCACTGACCCGGCCCCACCGGGGTCCCGCACTGACCAGTGCCGCACGGACCCGGCCCTTAGGGATCCCGCACTGACCAGGCCCGCACTGACCAGGCCCGCACTGACCGGTCCCGCACTGATCGGGTCCGCGCTGTCCCGCACGGACCCGGCCCCACAGGAGTCCCGCACGGACCCGGCCCCACAGGGGTCCCGCACGGACCGGTGCCGCACGGACCCGGTCCTGAGGGATCCCGCACTGATCAGGCCCGCACTGACCGGTCCCGCACTGATCGAGTCCGAGGGGTCCCGCACGGACCCGGCCCCACGGGGGTCCCGCACTGACCTGGCCCCGCCGCCGCCCGTGCCGTGCCCGCCGGTACCGCTATTTATAGAGCACGGCGGCGCGCGGGGCACGCCGGGAGCGCGCGGCACCGGCAGCGCGAGCGGGCGGCGCGGGGGGACGGGGGGGGACCAGGGGGGACAGGGGGGGACACGGCGGTCCCTGCGCAGCCCCCGCACAGCCAGCACGGGCAGTTAAACCACGGTTAAACCCCGCACGGCTCGGGGGTGCGGATCCGCCGGCGAGGGGAGCCCCCACCCTGCCGGGCCGGGGTCTGCGGGGCGCCCCGCGGCTCCTGCCTCCGCCCCCAGCTCCTCGCAGGGGAATGCTCTTCATGTTACTGTCCACATGTCGCCTCCCCTTTTCTGCCCCCGTTCCGTTCTCGTGTCCCCATCTCTGTCCCTAAGACCCATTCCTGTGCCTGATGTCCCCATTCCCGTCCCATCCCTACTGTTACCGTCCTTGTCCCTAATGTCCTTATGTCCCCATCCCATTCCCTTGTCCCCCTCCTCGCCAGCTCCAGGGATGTAAAACCCCGGGAACATTGTGTCCTTGTTAAGATCTGATTAGTGAGAGATGCCGGATGCCAAAGCCAATAGTACAGATTTTATTTAACAATAAAATGTGAGGTAGAGAAAGATAAATAGAAAAGAGGGATTGTGTGGTGGGGGGAGAGAGAGATTGGTCAAGAGGAAGATTGTCACCACCAGTGGATCCCTTAGCATCCCATTGGTCACCCTGATCTTCATGGTGGTGGGGGTCCCCAGGTTGTTGAAAACTTTTCACTACTTATATATATTTACAAATGAAAGCATTACTGCTCATTGGCTACACAGTTCCTTTATTCCATTGGTCAAATAATTCCCTCTCTTCTAATGCTAATTTATCCCATGCTCAGTTTTTCTCTTCGAGTAGAGTCCGTGGTTGCAATCTCCCCTGCCAGAATTACCTTTTACCCAGCTGGAGCTGATTCCATCCACCAGTTACCGGGTTGGCTTTCCTTGCGGATTCTGTGTCCATTATCAGTGATGCATTCTTCTCCCCTAGTTTTGTTTACCACCCCTAATCTGAGATAATGCTCGGACAACAGTACCACCTTTATCTTATCTTAAATGCCTCTTACGGTGGCTAAATTTATGTAAAATTTACGTAAAATATCAGGCATATTTGGCAGGGGGAAGAGGGGCTTCGGTGGTTGTAGATGCTGTCCATCCCATAAGTTGGGGTGATCTCTTTGACTAGTGATATGTGCATGAGCAGTTGCCCTTCCACAGCTTGTCTGGATGTGTCACCCAGATGTGCCAGACCAGAGCGAGTGCCATCGTGCTGCTCCCTGCTGTGCCCACCTCATGGCAAAATCCTTCTGTGGCACCAGACTTTGAGACAGGCGACTCCGAGTACTTGCACTTACCTGCCCTTCCTCCTCCTCTGAGGCTGCAGAGATCCGGTCCCAAGACCCTGTGACCCCAGGGCACCTGGCTGGGGGTGACATAAGCTAGGGAGGTCTCAGCTGTCACCTGCCACTGAAGAGGTGCCTCAGAGCTGGAGTCAGCCAGGAACTGGCCATGGATCCCACCTGGCCATGCTGGTCACCTTGCCACATCCTCCTGAGTGCCCAGGGACAGCGCTGCTGTGGGCTGGGGGTCACTACCATCATCCCCAAAAACCCATCCAGAGCCAGGGCTCAAGGTAACAGACTTCAGCAATATTTATTCCTGTACAAACAATTACAAAACATGGGTGCCCCACTGCTTCCCCCAGCACCAAGCCCCTCAAAACCCCAGCCACAGCCAGAGGGAAACTGAGGAATGGATTCCTGCCAAGGCTCAGCACCCAAACATGCCATATTTAGGTGCTTTCCCCAGATCTACTTCTCTGCTGCTGAGACATTAATAACAAAGTCCTGTCTCAGCCACAGGGTGCCAAGAGGCACCACTGCCCCCCACTACCTGCCCACTTCTAAATTATTTATAAGTAGCTGCTGGCCCTTTGTTACCACTAATGAGCAGCCCTTGCTCACTCCTTCATCCAGGAAACCCAAGTACAAACCCCAGGATTAGAAGCGGGGAGAAAAGAAAAAAAGCCAAAACCCCCAAAAAGCTCCCAAAAATCCCATCTTTCAGTTAGAAAAGGTTTTGGCACAGTGGGGTGCAGCGGTGCTGGGAGGGGTTGGTGTTTTTAGGGTACTGGGACAGGGAGGGTGGCAATGTCACCCCCATGGGGTCCCACCAAAAACTGTGGGGTTCTGCTGCGGGAAGGATGACTGAGGACTGGGATGAGGGGGGCTGAGCTCCAAGAGAGGGTCTCCCCACCCAGAGGATTGGGGAAACAGTCTCTGTGATGACCCCAGAAGTGATGCAAACCAAAACTGAGCCAAGGGGACCTGGAACCCCCTTAGAGGCTCACAGGGGCTGCAATATGCATGGACCAGTATGGGGCAGGATATCATGCCCAGGTATCCTGTGCATGGAGGGGCAACACTCCAAATCTTACATTCACCACCTGGCCCCCCAAAAACCAGCTCTAAACCAAACACATCCCAGGTGCTCCAGGAGCCACCAGGCACAACAGCAGTGGTCCTGTGGGAGGCAGCTGGTGGCACTCTGATGCCTGGATCCCACCACTCCCAGGGGGATGCAGGGGAACGCCCATCCATGCCAGCTGCAGGGGTGCGCCCGGCAGGTATGGGGGAGCCTCTAGGTCCAGGTGGGGTGGGAGAAGGTGATGTTGTAGAGGCCGGCCCAGCTGGCAAAGACCCTTTTCTCAGTGATGAAGCGGTGGTGGTTGCCCCTGCGGCTCCGCTCGTTGTGGATGTAGGTTGTGCACTCGTCCGGGCCCTTGGGCTCGTAGTAGTGGTAGGGCAGGCGGCGGGGTGGGGGGTGGCGGCTGCAGCGGGGAAAGAAACATTGTGTGAGCCCCGCGGAGGGGTCAGGGTGCTGGGGTGGGGGCCTGGGGCTCTCCTTACCCGCAGTAGCTGGGTGGCACCATGCCATAGACGTGGATGGCATCACACAGCTCCACTGCGATCACCATGGTGAACCAGCCAGTGCTGAGCCACGAGCGAGACTTCTCCCTGGGGAGGAAAAACAACAGGAAGGATGACAGCCGTGAGGTGATAATGGACCCCCTCAGTGTCCCCAGTGTGCCTCAGAGACCCCCAGCTCAGTGCTGCAGCCCATGAAGCAGCTCCAAGAGTCAGCTCTGTCTTGGGAACCTGGAGAAAGGGGGACACAGCACAAGAGGTGGCTCTGAGGTACCTGTCCTTGCCTGTCTCTCCCCGAAACAGGTCATCAAACTGCTTCATGCGGCCGGGGGAGACAACATAGGCGGTCATGTTGGGGAATGAGGCGCAGACGCGCTGGATGATCTTCAGGAGGCTCTTCTGCATCTTGGTGGGCGGCCCCCAGAAGATGAAAATGGTCTCTGGGGTCTTGTTGACAAACTCCTGGGGCCGCTTGAGGACACGGTAGAGGCTGGAGTGGGCCACCACGCGGAAGCTGGTCTTGTTGCCCACATCAGCACTGTAGCCCGTGGTAGGAGCATCGTTCATGCGGATGGTGCACTCAGCCCCGTCGATGACTGTGCCCAGGTGGGTGCCCAGGAGGTGGCTGGAGCTGGTGACAATGACGCATTGGTGGCAGCGGGCAGTCAGGGTCTGGTGATGACAAGTGCCGTCAGCAGGTGACTTGAGGTGTCACCGTGAACAGGGTGCTGTTCCCTGCAGAGCCACTGTCCTCGGGAGGGGGCAGTTTGGCTGGGTGTCAGCAGAGGGGCAGACCCCGTGTCACCGCCGAGGCCCGGCCCTGCTGCCCAGCTCGTACCTTGTTCCCACAGACAGGCAGGTACCCGCTTTTCACCCCCCACTTCTTGAGGTCGGGGGGCCGGCGGGCTCTGCCCCGCAGGCGGCTGTAGGGGAACACCTCGCTCCCGTTGCCAGAGCTGTAGATGATCAGCAACATGATCAGGGCAAAGAGGACCCCCAGGGCGGCGGCGCGCTGGCTCTGCGGGCGGGGGGAGAGCATCAGCCGCTGCCCCCATCCCACTGTGGAGCATCCACCCCGCTCCCACGGCATCTCCAGCAGGATGCCTGCTGTCCCCGAGGTGATTATCTGGCACTCACCGTGTTGCCACTCATGTCTCTGTGCCAGCCTCAGCACACAGTGATCGCTGGCGTCCTGCGAGCACCTGCAAGGCATGTGGTCACCCCCAGCCTGGCCCATCGTCCCCAGGCTGCTGGGCTGGTGGGGGTACAGGAGCAGGTGTACACGGGACAAGTCTCCAGGTACCCCTTTGAAGAGGAGAACAATCCCCCGGAATTTATGAGGGGAAAAGAAATGCTGTGGACAGAGGCTGGGCAGACTCCGGGGTGTGGAAGAGCCAAATCCAGCCGCAACTTGTGCCTGGGGGATCCCCACGTTAAGCTGGGTCCAGGGAGGATTATCTTCTTCTCGTGGGGATGAAACCACTCAAACCACAGGGTTAGGGAGGGTCAACCTGCTGCTCGTGCAGTGAAATTCCATTAAAACCAGCGCCAGAGGAGTCTTGGATCAAGAGGGAATGGAAGGAAGGAAGACCTGCCCCACTCAGTGCATGGGACTGCATCCATCAGACCTGCAGGGACCCCTCCAGCCCCAGGACCCACTCTACCTTCCTCTCAAAGCGGACTAACCCAGTTTAGTTTTGGGAACCCTGGTTAGTGTGGCCCAGCCATTCCGGGAGCGCTCCAAGCAAGTGGAAATTAAAAACCACTGAAGCCTCTTTACTAATTGTCACAAGGAAAATTATGCAACAGCCTGAGATCAACCCCTGGGGGGAGCTGACAGCTCGAAACGCTCTCAGGGCTGCTGCTGGTGGTGCCAGAATGTACTAGCCTGCCCGGGGAGCCCAGGCCATGGCGGGGAGTGGTGATGCTGGGGAGCTTCATCGTGCAAAGGCCGGGGACGCTGTGGGACCCCCACTCCCGGACCCCACTTCGCTCCCTCCACAGCTCTCGGGCCATGTGGGACCCCACAGAGGGGTCCCAGCGGGGAGACCCCGCGGCCTTACCTGGTGGGGGTTGTCATGGGGACTCCGTCACCTCCTCCGCCCCGCGGGCGGCGGGGGCTGCCTGGCCCCTCCAGCGGGCTCGCCCATGGTTGGCATCGGGGCTCACATCGCCGTGCTGCGGGAAAAGCCTGCTTCAGATCCGGCCCTCTTATCCGCCGGGGTCCCCCAGCCCCGGATGCGAACCCTCCCGCCCTCCGGGAAGGGAAAACCCTCCCGGCCGCGGTTGCGAACCTCCCGCTACTCCTACTTGCGAGTCCTCCCCTGCCGCGGGAGCATCCCCCCACCCCCGGCAGCGGCCGCGGCGACACGGGAGGGAGCCGAACCCTTCCTACCCCTCCATCCCCCGTGCACCGGCCCCGGGGGCAGGGGCCGCTCCCCCGCCCGGCCACGGCGCGTTCCGCCCCTGCACCGGCTGAACGGGACCGGCGGGGACGAACGAGCTCCACCGAGCGCTCCGCGGTGCGCCTGGTACCGCTGCCGATATCGGTATCGCTGCCGCTGCCGATACCTCTACCGTTACTGATATCGCCGCCGACACGGACCGTGACGCTGCCG